CTCGGCTTCCATAATACGTGTCACATTTGACCGCGGGCCTCATGCCTCCTTCCTTGAGTATCCTTTTTCATTGACCCTAATGCCCATGTTGCTTCCTGTCCCCTGCCTCTACAGGGGGCCAAAGGTGACCGAGGACTGCCAGGGCCTCGGGGTGAGAAGGTGAGGTGGGCCCAGCCCAAAGGCCAGAGCGCTGGGTCGAGGGGGCCAGGTTGGGTGGCTAGACCCCCTTACCGCCCTTTCTGTGCAGGGTGAAGCTGGCCGTGCCGGGGAGCCTGGAGACCCTGGGGAAGATGTGAGTCTGGGGTCTGGGCAAGTCAGAGCTTGGGAGGAGGAGTGCAGTTGTGGACCCGAGGCACCATTCCCGGGCCTGTGCACCTTCCAGCATTCAGGATCCTGCTCCTGGGTGCACACAGGGACCAAGCCTCTTGGCTTCCACGCTCCCCGCGTGGAAGCGGGAGGCGTCTTTGCTTCCTGGTGCCTGTTCCTGGTCTCCAGCTCCTCAGTGTGTCTGAGCACACATGTGTGGTTCCTGTCCGTTGCCCCCGGTCTCAGGACACAGCACAGTTCCTGGGGGCTTCTCTTGCTCACCTGCTTATGCTTCCCGGATCCCCTGCCCCCTCCGAGTCCGGGTCTCAGCTCCCTCGGCTGGGGTGGCTCTGAGTTCCTGCACTGGCGTGCTCATGGGATCTCCCGTGAGCCTGTGCTCACATCTGAGGTCCCTGAGCCTGTGTTCCTGTGTGACACTACGTGTCCGTAGTCATGCCCGAGCTCACCCGTATCTGTGCTCATATCTGAGCTTCCCTCTGTCTTTGCCCTCACGAGTCCATCGTCGCCTCTGAGCTCCTGTGAGTCAGTCCTGTGTACATGTCTGAGTCCCACATCTCCATGAGCACATCTCAGTGGCCCTGGGAATACTCTTGGGCCATATCTCAGCTCTGGGTTCACGTTCCTCCCCTCAAGTACTGTTTACTTTGTTTTTTTAGGGTCAAAAAGGGGCTCCTGGACTCAAGGGTAATAAGGTATGTATACCCTAAAGTGTCTCTGCTGGAGGTCATGTTCCTGAGATTCCCTGGGCCTGACCTGACCCCTCTTTCCCTTGAAGGGTGACCCAGGAGTTGGGGTCCAGGGCCCCCCTGGGCCAGCTGGTCCTCTAGGTCTGAAGGTAAGTCGATGCCCTGTCACTGGTGGTGGGCAGTGGGCAGGGAGGTCCCTGGAAGGATGAAGAAGAGGGCAGTCGGGGGCTAGTTCTGGGAAGGAGTCCCGTTGGGACCATTCCTCCCTTTGCTATCTCTGTTCCAGGGAGATGTGGGCCCCCCTGGCCCCCCTGGTGCTCCTGGTGTTGTCGGATTCCCTGGTCAGACAGGCCCTCGAGGAGAGATGGGTCAGCCAGGCCCCAGTGGAGAGCGGGTAAGCATGCTGGGAACAGCATGTGGGGACTTGGTGACTTCAGGACCTCTGAGTCTGGTAGTGGGTGAGCAGGTGAGGAGGAGAAGGGGGCCCAGGCCCTGCCTCAGGGGCTCCCAGTCTTGGAGGGGCCAAGGAGGAGGAAGGTCCCCAAGTCACCCTCTGCCTCTTTCGCTGCGTTATTCCGGTAGGGTCTGGCAGGTCTCCCAGGGAGAGAGGGTGCCCCAGGTCCCTTGGGGCCACCTGGACCACCAGGGTCAACGGTGAGTAGAAGTGCCCCAGTGTCCCAGGTATCTGATTCCCGTGTGTTGGAGTCTGTCCACGTGGGGACTGGGACACACTGCGTGCTTGGGTATGTGTGTGTGCCTTTGAGGGGCACGGGACCCTCACCTTACTCTGTCCGCAGGGAGCTCCCGGAGCCTCTGGACTCAAAGGAGACAAGGTAGATGGGACAAGGCTGCTGGCTCTCCTGTATATGTCACCCCCCACCTCCACTGACCCCCCCGTCACCCCCTCCTGCCTCAACTGACTCCCATCACCCCCTCCCGCCTCCACTGACCCCCATCACCCTGTCTGTCCCGCTCTGTCCCCCACTGATTCCTCTTGCATATCCCCGGTATCCTATTGATCTCCAGGGAGACCCTGGAGCAGGTCTGCCCGGGGCCCGCGGCGAGCGTGGGGAGCGTGGGGAGCCAGGTGTCCGGGTATGTATGTCCTGCTCTGCGGCCACAGTCCCCTTTAGCACAGCTCTCACCTCTGATTTCCAGCTTCTGAGTCAATGAACTTAATGTCAACATGCAGGGTGAAGATGGCCGTCCTGGCCAGGAGGGACCCCGAGGACTCATGGTGAGTCCCCTTGGGGAAAGCGCCAGCGGTGTGGCTTCAGTCCCCTGCCTGTGCCCTCTGTGCCCTTGGGACACTCTCTGTAGCCCCCTGGTTCTTCTTATGTACTCTCTGGTCCTTCATCTCTCCTATTCCCCTGGGACTCCTTAGTCCTCCCCTGCCCCCTGAGCAGTCTCCCCACTAATGCCCCCAAATTCCCTTAGCTTACTGTTGTCTTCTTCTCATATAGGGGCCCCCAGGCAGCCGGGGTGAGCGTGGGGAGAAGGTAAGGACATGGGGGAAAAGATCCCCGGGGTGGGCAGGGTTGGGGCTAGATCTTGTAATTCAGGATTGGAACTCCTCCGGTTTGGAGAGATTCACACTCTTCCACCCAACAGGGTGACGCTGGAGCCTCAGGGCTAAAGGGTGACAAGGTGAGTGTGGGCATGGGAGAGGGCAGAGGCATGGACTAAGGGTGCTCCTGACTCCTCTGACTGCCCCCTGTCCACTCAGGGTGATGCAGCCATGGCTGTGGGGCCTCCAGGGCCACGGGGTGCCAAGGGGGACATGGTGAGTAGTTCTGGCCCATGTACAGCCTGGGTCTCTCTTGGATGTGGGAGGGGCTCCTCTGGGGGCTGGGCCAGGGGATCTGAGAGCTCAGACTCAGATGGGGTGAGGGCCCTCCAGCCCCTGACCCTGACTTCTGACCCCTGGCCCAGGGCGAACGAGGGCCTCCGGGCATAGATGGTGACAAAGGACCTCGTGGAGACAATGGGAACCCTGGAGAGAAGGTACAGGGAAGAGGGTGGGGTACTCTGTGTGGGGTTGGGAGAGGGTTTCTGTGGGCTGTGGGGGCTCTATTGAGGGTCTGTGAGGATAGGAGGGGAGGATGGGGGGCTTTTGGGGGGTCAGAGGGGAAGGGTTCAGTGGACTGTAGTAACTCTGTGGGATGGCTGAGAGGATGGGGGCTCCCCGGAGGTCTCGAGTACCTCCATGTGAGGTCACCAAGGAGCTCTGTGGAATGTAGCTCCAGGAGAGGCCCTCTGGGAACAGACAAGGGGCTTTTCAGGTATCGGGGGTGCTCCAGGTAGGTGTAGGGGCCCCGTGGTAGGAGGGAGGGGCAGGGATCTGAGAGCCTGGGGTGAGAAATGAGCCCCGCTGGGGGCAGTGGGTGGGAGCAGCATTGGCTGGCTCTCCTCACCTGGCAGGTTCCAGTCTCACTCCAAGCCTCCAGCCCGGTCTAGTCCTGATTGTGTCCCTCTCCGGGTCACACCCACAGGGCACCAAAGGAGAGCCTGGTGACAAGGGTTCAGCCGGGTTGCTGGGAGCTCGTGGACTCACAGGACTCAAGGTCAGCCCCACCCCAGACACAGACCCAGACCCACCCGTCACAAACATCTGTCTTGTGGGTGTCCTCTGAACATTGGAAGGTTTCCAGCCTCCCTCCCTGTTGGCCACGTGTGTGTTTACATGGGATCTGTGTGCGGCCTGGGAGTCCCTGAGTGGCATGGGGGACAGTCACGTTGAAGGGCTGCCCTCCCCCATCTGTGCTTCCCACAGGGTGAGCCTGGCACCGCAGGGATCCCAGGTGACCCGGTAAGATGCCCCTGCTCCCACAGAGACGCCCTGCCCCACAGGGCCCCTGTCCTCATGTGGTGGCCTTTGACCTTTCAGTGACTGGTGCTCTCATGGTGTTCTCAGGCTGCCCGGGGCCCCCACCTTCACAGTAATTGCTGTGATGATCCCACCCACAGGGTGTCCCCTGCCCCTGGACAGCCCTGCCCTTCCAGCAGCTCTGGCCTCCAATAGTGACTCTCACCCTGTGATGTTCCCTGTTCCTTTCATCCAGAGTGATTCTCCTGGATCCCTCCTGACCTCCTTGACTTTATATTGACCCCTTTCCCCACCAGGGATCCCCAGGAAAGGATGGAGCCCCTGGTGTCCGAGGAGACAAAGGAGATATTGGCTTCATGGGTCCCCGGGGCCTCAAGGTGGGAAGGGGCTGGGGTTTTTTCTTCGTTGGGCGGGGCGTGGGGGGCGCTAATGTTAGAGGGCAAGGTATCTGGGGTTGAAGGTCAGGTATCTGGGGTCAGATGTTGGGATATCTGGGGTTGAATGTGGGGTATTGGGTTAGGGGTTGGAAGGTCAGAGATTAGAGTGTCTGAGGCCAATTTGGAAAGTGGTTTCGTGGTCAAGGGGTTATAGGGTGAAGTATCTGGAAGTCACTTTTCCATCTGCTTTTTCCCCGCAGGGTGAGCGAGGGATAAAGGGAGCCTGTGGCCTCGACGGAGAGAAGGGAGATAAGGTATGGAGGTGACGGGGATGTGGGCAGCTGTGGGGCCTGGGCCTATGTTTGACCCCTCCACCTGATCGCTGCAGGGAGAAGCTGGTCCCCTGGGCCGCCCTGGGCTGGCAGGACGCAAGGGAGATATGGTGAGTGTGGGGTACCCAGGATGGGGAGAGAATGGGTGGGCCAGGGCCCAGCTCATGTTTTCTCTTCTCCAGGGGGAGCCGGGGGTGCCGGGCCAGGCGGGGGCCCCTGGGAAGGAGGGCCTGATCGGTCCCAAGGTATGGGGTCTCTCAACAGTGGATATAAGGGGGGCAGAATGGGGCAGGGAAGATCATGGTAGGGTGATGGGGGTGTCATTTCAACAGGGTTATGGAGGGTTGGGACATTGCGGGGTAGAGTGAGGTTGGCCTTGAGGTTTCAGGGTGGGTTGGGGTCACAGTGGGAATTTAGGATTAAGGGATGAGAGGTGAAGTGGGGAGATGTGCATCAGGGCTAAGGGGTTAGTGGGGGAGGTTGGAGTGTCTGTATAAAGGAAATAGGTGGAATCAGGGCAAGGGGTATGACAGTAAGGTCGGTCGGGGTCATGGGGAGCACGGCAGACCAAGGGTCCTGGGATCGTAGGGTCACAGGTGCTTGGGTCATGGAAGATGGTGGCCGTTGGGCCAAGGGGCTCGCGGCCATTGAGCTGAGGAGGCCGACGCAGATGGTCTCTCATGCTTCTTTCCATTCCCAGGGTGATAGAGGCTTTGATGGGCAGCCAGGGTCCAAGGGTGACCAGGGCGAGAAAGGGGAGCGGGTAAGTTGAGACCAAGGTCATGGTGAACTAAGCAGATTATACTTACTGGAAGTGCGTCCATCTTTGGGGGCTTTGATCACTGACCCTGACCGTCTCTCCACAGGGGCCCCCTGGAATTGGGGGCTTCCCAGGTCCCAGGGGCAGTGACGGCTCTAGCGGTCCCCCTGGGCCACCTGGCAGTGTTGGTCCCAAAGGCCCCGAAGGACTTCAGGGCCAGAAGGTAAAGAGCTCGGACTCTGACTCCTGACCCCTGAACCTCCCTGACCCTTCCAACCTCACTGACCTCTGACCCTGCAACCCGTCCCCGAGGCCCCTGCCCCAGTCTCTGAACCTACGCTCTCCCACTTTCCCGACTTCCGACCTCCACTGCCTCTGACTGCTCACTGGGTCCTTGTATCTGTTAGGGTGAGCGGGGCCCCCCCGGAGAGAGAGTGGTGGGTGCCCCTGGAGCCCCTGGGACCCCTGGAGAGAGAGGAGAGCAGGTGAGTGGGGATTCCTGGGCATAGGGTCGGAGACCAGGGTGACCTCCAGTGTCCCTAAGATCGGGGGTCACAGCCCTGTCCCATCCGTTGTGCGTAGGGGCGACCAGGGCCCGCCGGCCCCCGCGGGGAGAAGGGAGAAGCTGCACTGACAGTAAGTGTGGGCCTGGGTGGGCTGGGCCCCACCTTCCACACCCAGGACCCTCACCGCCTGGGCCTGGGCCCCTGACTCAGTGCTGTCCCTCCGTGAGCCCTGCATCATATGCCTTTTGTCTCTCCCGTGATCCATGGGTGCTTCATGATCCTTTGTGGTCTTGTGCTCCCAGGAGGATGACATTCGAGGCTTTGTGCGTCAGGAGATGAGTCAGCATTGCGGTGAGTGCGGCCCAGCCCAGAGCCTCTTGGGTCCCATTCCCACTCCACCCCGGCTCCCCTAGACAGGGGCAGGCAGGGTCCGCAGACCCGACGGGGCTCGAGCAGTGAAGGAGATGGGCGGGGATGGATAGATACGCAGGAGGATACATGCGCTTCAGGACAGATGTGCTGACAGGACTTTCCCGTAGTGTCCCTAGCAGCCCAGTGTGGCTGTGTGGAGGGTGGAGGTGGGAGCAGGCCGGTGGGCATCAGAGAATGAAGCTGTGTCTCCTCCTGTCCCTCTGTCTGACCGCTTCCAAACCTTCTCCACGCCCGCCTACTTCTGACCCTCTCTGTCTCTCTCCCTGCCTCTCTCTCTGCTTCCCACCCATTCTTTCCCTCCGTTGGTCTCTCTTGTCCATCTCTCCTGCGGTCCTTCTCTGTGCATCTGTGTCCCCCTGTGTGTGTCCCTCTGTCTCTTCCCCTGCCGCTTTCCATCTTCGTCTCTTGCTCTCTGTCCTTGTCTCTCTCCCTGCCCTTCTCGGCCCGCTCCAGCCTGCCAGAGCCAGTTCATCGCATCTGGATCACGTGAGTAATTTTCTGGTATTTTCTGCTCCCGGAACCTTCCCCATCCCAGGCCCTTCTGTGCCCATCACCTGGGTTCACTCAGCCGGGGCTTGGCTGGGGTGGCCACCATTATGACCCCAAGGCCCTGTGCCCCTACCCCTTGCTCCAGGACCCCTCCCGAGTTATGCTGCAGACACTGCCGGCCCCCAGCTCCACCCTGTGCCTGTGCTCCGGGTTTCTCACACGGAGGAGGAAGGTGAGGACAGATGGACCCGGGCTGGGGGGCCATGCGGTGGGGCGCAGACCCATGAGGCGTTGCTCCTGCGTGCGGGGCAATGCCACGTGCACAGGGGCAGCACGCAGGGCACGGCACGGACACTGAACGCGTGGGAGGCGGGTGTTGCCCGCCCCGCCCCCAGGGCCAGGGTTGGGCAGCATGGACGTGGCCCCGCAGCAGCCTGGCCGTGTCACAGTACTCCCCACCCTGTGTGCAGGCCAGGTGCCCCCTGAGGACGACGAGTACGAGTACTCTGAGTACTCCATGGAGGAATACCAAGACCCTGAAGCTCCTCGGGCTGGCGATGGTGAGAGCGGGGGCGGGCCCAGAAGGGTTCAGGGAGGGGCGGCAGGCCCCCAGTCCCTCTCTGATGGCCACCGCCCTTGCTGACCTCCTGACCCCCGCTGGCCCTAGACCCCTGCTTGCTTCCACTGGACGAGGGCTCCTGCGCTGCCTACACCTTGCGCTGGTACCATCGGGCGGCGGCAGGTGGCACAGAGGCCTGTCACCCCTTTGTCTATGGTGGCTGTGGAGGGAATGCCAACCGTTTTGGGACCCGTGAGGCCTGTGAGCGCCGCTGCCTGCCCCGCGTGCTCCAGAACCAGGGAACAGGTATGGGCCTACCCGTCCACCCCAATAGGAGCCAAGACACCGAGCCTCCCCAGATCAGGTCCTTGTCGGGGGCCCGGGTCAGGAGCCCCCTCAGACTGGGGGCCTGGGACAGACCCCCAGACCAAGGAACTGAACAGAGAACCCTAGCTGTGGGGTCCCTTCCATGCTCCCTCCTCCAAGGACCTGAGTGAGGATCCCCTCTCTGAGGTCAGAGCCCCACTCCCTGTCATGCCCCCAGTGCCCCGCTGATCCTTTGCCCAGTGCCTCTCTGGGCACACATGCTGGGTAAGGCCAGATGGCTGAAGACAGCTCCCCGTCTGCCGCCCCCCCCAGGTGCTGCCCGAAGCTGAGGCCCAGATGACCAGCTGGACAGCTGAAGTTCAGCGTCCCCTGGAGGAGTCCTGCTGTCCCTCCCCTTGGTGCTAGAGGCCTGTGTGCATGGGAGCGTGCATGAGCGTGTCCATTATTTCAGTGACTTGGTCCCGTGGGTCTAGCCTTCCCCCCTGTGGACAAACCCCCACTGTGGCTCCTGCTTCCCCAGCAGATGACTCAGTGCGGGGGTGGCTGTGGGCAGGGAGCGGATGTGACTGCATCTGACCCGCCCCTTGACCCAAGCCTGTCATGACATGGTGCTGATTCTGGGGGGAGCATTAAAGCTGCTGTTTTAAAAGGCCCCTGTTGTGACTGTTTGGGGAGATGGGGGTGGCAGGGGGTTAGGTTTTCCCTGGGAGGTCAGTGCTATTCTGCATGGGTGCAGAGTCCCTCTGTCCGGCCCTGGTCACTGTCCTGTGACCCTCAGTCCTCAACTTGTCCCCCAAAAGGAGTAGACCAAGTGGGGGCTGAGGACATGTCCTCACTGCTCCCCAGGAGGGGATGAGTCAGAGGGGGGGAGCTGCTTCATGCCAGGGGCCACGCCCCAGCTCCTACCTCAGGGGGCTGAGAGAGAGAAATGGGCCGTGAAGGGAGCAGAGAGCCGGACCACAGCACTGCGCTGCCTGGCCCCAGCCATGGGCAGCGCCGGCGGCCCCACCTGGCCCCAGAGGAGGCTGCCGCTGGTAGGACTGAGGTGGCTCTGGGTGGGGTGGGCAGGGCCTTGGGGGCTGAGTGGATGTGGGATTTGGTTTGGTGGAGGTCTCTGGACCTGAGGGGGCCTTGGAGTCTCTGGCTGCTTCTCCACCTTGAGGACCCCATTCCTGCTCTTTATTGTCCTCGATCTGTTGCAAGCTCCCTCAGAACTCAGGCTCCCCTTTTGTCCCTCCGTGTTCTCTCTGTGTCTTTGCATCCCTATTTTTTTTTTTTTAAAGATTTTACTTATTTATTTGAGAGAGAGAGAGAGTGCATGCATGAGCACGGGGTGGGGCAAAGGGGGAGGGAGAAGCAGACTCCCTGCTGAGCAGGGAGCCTGATGTGGGACTCGATCCCAGGACCCTGGGATCATGACCTGAGCCGAAGGCAGACACTTAACTGACTGAGCCACCCAGGCGCCCCTTTGCATCCCTATCTTTATCATGTTGTCTGTGTCTGGGGTGGTTCCAGCCTCTTTTTCTTCCAGGCTCCCTCTCTTTTGGTTTGCCTCCTCTCTCTCCTCTTTCTCCCTCTTCTCCTTCCCCTCCCCAAGTGTATCTCTATCTCTACATCTAGATCAAGCTGTGCTCTCTTTATCTCCCTGGCCCCTGATCTGTCTAGCTCTGTCTTGATTTTCTCAGTCTCACTCTGGCTGTCTTGTCCTTTCATCTCTGTCTCTTCTATCTCTCTCCATCCCTTGCCTGGCCTCTCTAATCTCTCTCTGTCTCTTTCCCTCAGTCTCCCTGTCTGTCTGTCTGCTTTCCCCATCTGTCTCTGTCCATGCGCCATGGCTGCCCAGAGCCCCTGCCCTGAGCCTCTTTTCTCCTTGCAGCCTGACCACCACGATGACCAGGTGGGCTCTGCTGGTGCTGATGGTCCTGACATTGGGCAGGGCCCTGCTTGTCCCTGCGACCCCTCTCCCAGTTTCCCAGCTCCTCCCTCAGAACCCTCCCCAGGCCACTCCCCGCCCCGTGGCTTCGGACAGCACCTCAGCCAGCACCACAGGCCCCTCCACTGCTTGGGGCCACCCCAGCCCCGGCCCCCACCCGGGCCCCCGCATCATCCTCTTGCTGGATATCCCCATTGGCCTCCTGCAGATCTTACTGGAGCAAGCCCGGGCCAGAGCTGCGAGGGAGCAGGCCGCCACGAACGCTCGCATCCTGGCGCACGTTGGCCGCCGCTGAGCCGGAGGGTGGGGGTCACAATGATGGGACCACCCCGGATCAGGAGACCTGGAAGGCGGTGGCAGAGCAGGACGGGCTACATCTGGGCATGGTGCGCCTGGCCACCACGCTGTGGGGTCACTGCCAGATGGTGTCATATCACAGCTGAGTGCCTCTCAGAGCCACAGTGTGTCTGGATAGCCTGGACGTTGCCAGACTGGGGGGCTGCCAAATGGAGTCTTGCCACGCCTGGAGCCCCGCAGACTTCCAATATGTCTGGACAGCTTGGACGCTACCGTGGAATGTCACTACTGTGTGGAGTCTCGCCATGTCTGGGTGCCCCAAGGTCAAAGAGCATCCAGACACTCAATGCGGTTACTCTTGCTCCACTTTTAGGAACTTTGGCACAGGAGCCCGACATGTTATCTGAGACGAGTCTGCCTAAGACCAGACCCGCAGGTCTGCCCTGCCCCCCACGGGTCACCACACAGGGAAGTGCAGGCTGAGGGTCACACGCATGTTTTGTGCTCCCCGAGGCAGCACCCACCTCCGATGAAGGGGCCGTCAGGGGCATCTCCAGGCATGGGTGGCCGGATGTGGCAAGTCTGTGATTGTGGCAGCCTTGCCTTGTGGCAGGCGTACGCGTGCATGGGCGGCTGCGTCTCTGCGTATCTGATAGCTGTGACTGTGGGTGGGCAAGGTGAGGGCAGGTGAGGGGGCTGCGTGGAACAGGGGCTTGTCCCCCAAACCAGCATGAAGCACGCTCAACGCACAGCCAGGCACTGTCCTACCCACACGCCTGCACACCCAGCCGTGGCCCTTGGACATGCGTGGCTTGGGCTGCTGGGGCTCCAGCCCAGCTCTGCCCCTCCTTCATCCAACTGTCCGGAGCAAACGTGCTCATCTTTCCAAGCCTCAGTTTCCTCCTCTGTAGAGCAGTGATGCCACCAGGCTTCTTGCGAACACCAAGTGACAGTGTACACGAAGGTTCTGGCACGCAGGAGAGAGCTCCAGAAATGTAGTGCCTGGAGAATGGGATGAACGAGGGTCACAGTCATGGGCACCCAGGGCTGAGTCATAGCTGGCTACGCTGCCCCTCTGCCCACTCCCCCCCACACGCACCCCTGCACCATTTCACCAACCTGGTCCCTCGGTGTGGAAGGAATAGGTTTTCCCTAATCTCACACGGCCAGCTCCATGGCCGGGCTGGAGATGGGACTGACCTTCTGAACGGTGTGGACAGGCTTGCCCGCATATGGGGCAGAAACTCTAGGTAGCGGGGAGGGCTCTGGCTGGAGCCAAGGGCAGACCCTGGGCAGTATGGACTGCTCTGGCCAGAGAGGGAGGCCACACGGGGGCGGGAGTAGGGCTGCCTGGGGTGGGGGCACTGCTGATCTCTCAAGTTGTGAGCAGCCCTGGGGGGCGGGCCCAGGGCGGGGCTGGGAAGGCGGGGCCACACGGGGCACACCGCAGCTCCCTCCCGCACCCAGAGGGCGGGGCTGCCCGGCTCCAGGCTGCAGGGGGCGGCTGCCCGGGCCACTTCGCTTGCAGAATGGACAGAGGCGAGGAGGGAGGCAGCGCCCTGACGGACCCCGGGTCAGGGAGCAGCAGGCGGGGTAGGCATGGGCGGCGGGGAGAGGGTGGGGGGGAGGCTGGGGGAACGACCAGAGCACAGTGGGGGTGGTGCTGGAAGAGGTGCGAGGGTGTTGGGGGGGTCTCTCTAAGTGTAGGGGTGCTCTGAGGGGGCATCAGCCTGTCAGTGGCAAGGAGGAGGGGGAACACTGTCGCCTTGCAGGGGAGTGGGGGGGCTGGGCCAAGGGGAACTATAAATAGCTTCTTCCTCCAGCCCAGAGAGAGGGACAGCCAGCTGGAGCTGCCTGAGGCCCTCCTGTTCTGCCCTTTGCTGGCCTCCAAGGGGGTCATGTTTGTCCAGGTCCCCCCTCAGGGGTCACACATCATTTTGGGGAGGCCCAGGGGCTCATTTGGAAAATTTTTCGTATGAAGTGGCTTTAGCCCTTAAACCAGCATTTCTAGGGCACCTACTGTGTGCCTTGCGTGGGTCCTGGGCTGCTCTAAGCACCTACTGTGTGCTCTGTCCTGGTCATGAACCTCTCTGAGCCCTAACTGTGTGCCTTGGCTGGCCCTGAGTCACTTTGAGCACCTACTGTGTGCCCTGTGCCAGGCTGGAATCAGCAAGTGCAGACCACAGTTCACAGGCTGCTCAGTCATATGGCTCCATACCCCCAAGCTGGAACCTCACACCCTCTGTGAGCTCTGGGTCCAGGGAGATACCGGGGATGATCCTTGGCTTGAAGTGGCCCTGGGAACTCCCTGAACCTCCCAGTGGCAGCAGAGGGGAGAGGAGGAGGGAAATAAAGGGGAAGGGAGGCAGTAGAGAGCAGCGGACCCCCGGCAGCCTGCCTGTCTCTGGGCAGGCCTGGGTTGCTAGTGTGCATGAACGTGGGGCTCTGTGTGCACGCTTCCATGCGTGGGCATGTGGGCATGTGGGTCTGTGTGGCATTCGCTGACCCAAAGGCCTGGGCCTTTATGCTGCAAAGTCTGGCCAGGGCTGACCAGCAGATACAGGGATGGGGAAGAGTTTGAGCACTGAGAACTGAGAGCTAGGACTTCAGCCACCCTATAGCTTGTAGCCAGGGACACTGGAGAGAGGTCCAGTGGTTGGTGCAGAGGGCACCACTGGATCCAACCTGGGCCAGGCCAGGCAGGTTCATAGAGGAGCGGGGAGGCTGAGCAGAACATAGCCACACACCAGTGCATGCTGACATCCCAGTACACTTTCCACCCCATCACTTTGGGATGGCCCCAAGGAGGGAAAAGCCATGAAGGCTGGCTGTTCTATTGGGCATCTACTGATGCAAGAGAGCATTGGAGGGAACAAACCAGAGCCTAGGTGTAGGGGTGGGAAATGTGGTAACATGGAAGATGTGGGAGGTGAGGTTTTGAAGGGCTGGGAGTTCATCTGAGTCCATCCTGCACTCTGGGCTGACTCTGTGACCCTGGGCCCTGCTCCCCTCCCTCAGTTTCCTACTCGAGAAATGGGCAGGGAGATGAAGAATGTTCTTAGAGCAGAGGTAGACTCTGGCCTTGGGGAGGAGCCCCAGGCTCCTCCTGCTGGTAACCTGTGGCCTCCCGCTTGGTGTGGGGACTTGGGAAGGTGTGTCTGGGTCAGCCCAGGGTCAGACTGTTTGGGGAAGGGTGGGAGGTACAGAGCCACGGCTCTTCCTAGGAAGCTAGGCTCAGACTGTCTGGGCGTGGGGACAGTTCCCTCGAAATGGCCCTGGCATCCTGCCCTGCTCTGGCTACCCTGTACCCCCAGCCTTTGACTAACGTCCCAAGAGGGCTGAGGAGGAGAATGGGCAGGCCAGAGGAAGTGCTGGGTGACTGTGGATGCTAGAACATGTAGCTTTTGCAATAAGTGCTGGGGGTTGGAGAGGGTGTGGGCGGGTGGTGACAAGGTCTCTGAGGTCAAGGTGGCCCCGGGATGGCCTTGGCAATGGCTAGGAGACAGATGGCAAGGCTGGCTGTGTCAGGAACAGAATGAGTGGCTTTGGAGAAGTAGGAAAGCGGGCGGGTTGTCACAAGCGGTATCCTGCTCATCAAGAGCTGCCCACGGGTGTGCACAGAGCTGCTTCTGCGTCAGGTGGAGGGAGGTGGGGGGTGGACACTGCAGAGGAAGGATGAAGGAGGAAGTGCTCAGCTCTGTCTGGGGCAGGGCATTCCTCCTGGGGTAGCCGGCTAGAGCTGGTTTTAGGGAGGATCTAGGAGGGCTTTCGCCTCCTGAACCTTCATCTCCTGTGACGGGGGCAAGACATCTGTATCAGAGTTATGTTAAGGGTCCTTGCCAGGCTCTGAAGTGCTGGGTGGAGACAAGTGTGTGGCAGGGAGGTCAGAGGGAGGGGGCTGCAGCACCTGTGGTGTGCTGGGCAGAGCCTTGTTATCCTGGCTGGACACACTTTGGGCAGAGAACCTGAGGATGTCATGATCCTGTCTGGGGGTTTTGTGGAGGACATCGCTAGGGGGCAGTGTGACCCAAGTTTGAGCAGTGTCGGTGGGGGGGGGCCCCAGGACAGAAAGTATACAGAACTTGGAGAAGCTGGCCTGAGGAGATAAAGAACGACCCAGGGTTCCTGAACTTCTGGATTTCTCCCCTGCCCTTTGCTTCCACTGCATTCTTAGAGACAGGAGGGAGATAAGTAATATAAACGATATCACTAATGTGCTTTAGAATGGATTTCTCAGACACTGACACATTTAATCTATACCAGAATCCTGTAAGGTTGATGATGCCTGCATTCTATTTTCCTGATGATGAGATGGAGGATCATTTTTAATATATGCAAATTTACAATTTACAATTTAATTGGTAAAAATGAAATCCTGTAAGAAGTTAGATACTGCCAGGGCTCAGTGAGTCCCCAGGGACCTTGGTTAAAAGGTTCTGCTCACGTGCTCCAGGTGGGCTGGAGTTTCGCCTGAGTTCCCGAGCGGCCAAGGTAAAGAGAGTAAACAATTTTGAGATGTCCCTGTCCGTGAGGTAAAAGATTTTTCCAGCGTGGTTGCGCCGGTCACTCCAGTGGGCGAGGAAGAATCCTGGGGCTCGAGAGAGGGTCGGGACACACGGCTGGGGGGCGCAGCGGTTGACAACTGGCATAACGCAGGGGCCACCAGACTGGTCCTGACCAACTGAGACCTGCGGGTCAAGCAGGCGGAGCTCCTTGGCCTGCAGATCCCTCCCTCCCGGGGGCCCTGAGATCAGCGGTAGCAATGAGCGGAACCCGGGTACCCTGGGGGCAAGGCTGTGCAAAGCGAAGCGGTGGATGAGGCCGATGCAAATCTGCGCGGTCCCGTTGGGCGTGCTGGGCTCGTGCATCTCCGGCAGGGTCCGCACTATTATCCAGGCCTTGAACCTGTGGGGAGTTGGGCATGCGCGTCCCCGATCTCGGCGTGAAGGGCGGGCCTGCTGGGTCCAAAACCGGCTGGCAGGCAAGTTGGGCATGCGTGGTCGGAGGCCGGGCCCTCTTCAGTCGGGGTAGGGCCTACTCGTTCTGGGGCGGGGCCTGCGGGGAGTCGGAGTGGCCGAGGCTCAAGGAGGGGCGGGGCCGAGGGGCGGGGCCTCGAGTGGCCCGAGGTGGCCTGGCTGCCGGGTCGGAAGCCGAGCAGTCCGACTCATCACATCCCGGGTATGGCGTCCCCACGGGAATTGACCCAGAACCCCCTGAAGAAGATCTGGATGCCGTACAGCAATGGGAGGCCCGCTCTGCACGCCTGCCAGCGCCGTGGTGAGGCGGGGTCCATGGAGAAGGGGAGGGTGGTGCACGGGGATGGGTGGATAGGGCGGCCTGGGCAGTGGTCTCGCACGGAAAGGGGGCCAGGAACCAGGTGGGGGACAGGTGAGGCTGCCGTGACTGGTGGTAGGGGAGCAGGAACAGGTCGAGGGCCGGGCACAGGTGTGGCAGAGCAGGGGGCGGAGACAGGTACGTGGCCCTGTCGCCCCTCGCTAGGGGCTAGGTCTGGCTACCATCACCTCCGGGAGGCGTCGGCCCCCTCTCACCCGAGTCTGTACCCACCAGGTCAGGCCAGGGGAGGATTGGGAGCCTCCTGCTGCCATTCACTTCAGGCCAGAGAGCGTGGGCCGGGTCTGAGCTTTGTTGGCCTTATGGAAATCGCTTGACCTTTCTGAGCCTAGAACTTTCAGAGGCCCAAAGGTGGGCCAGTCCCCTTGGCCTTAACTACCCACCTCTGGGCCTAAAACCGAGCTTTGGGAGGAATTTCAGGGAAGTGCAGTTGTGTTGAGGATGGAGAAGGTGAGAACACTGTCCCATATGGACCTGTCTTTGTGTCCGTGGGGGTATATGCATCCAGGTGGGGTCGTGGGTGAATGGTAAAGTTGGAGGGGGAAACATCCAGGAGACATGCTGAAATTCATGGAATTGTTAAGGAATTGTTAAGGGGCTCACCTTTCCTGGGATCCCGGTGTTTAATCCACTTTACTTGACTTTCTGCTTGTTCTTAAATGAGTCTGCAATCACTTATTGCCAAGAAAAACAAAGGTTTTTTTTGTTTGTTTTTTTAGGAATAGCTGAAACATTATAATGAATTTGCAAGTTGGCAAGGACCTCAGAGAACATCTAGTCCAACTTGTGGTACAGATATAGAAATGGAGATCAGGAGATTGTGTAATGTGCTCGGGTCTCCCTGTACTCCTTGACCTCTGCTTGGGCATGATAAGGGAGGGGAGAGTGCTCCATTCTTGTTTTGCCTTGAGGCCAGCCTGGGGGCCCTGGCTTTGACCAAGATGTAAGTCCTGTGGGTGGGCTGTGTGTATCTCTTACCACACTGGGTCCTGGTAGGGGGTAGCCATGGTTTTGACCGGGCATTCTCGTGGATCATGGCTCTGACCATGATGTAGTTCCGGGTAGGATGCTGAGGCGGTGATCAGGCTTAGACCCCGGGCCATGGCTTTCCAGTCAATACGCAGTCTTGAGAGGCAATGGCGACCGCCTAGCCAGCCCTCCTTCCAGACTTTTCTGGAGGGACCGAGGCCAAGGCCCATTGCTCTCGTGCTTCTAGCCAGTCTGTGTTGTCCTAACGAGGGGGTGGCCGCTGTTATTACATAAAGGGGAAGAAGTCAGAACCTGCGCTTTGAAGGCAGGAACACTCAAGACGCGTCGTGGCTCAGTTGTGTGACCTTGGGCAAGGAGCTGACCCGCTAGGCCATGGGTTCCTCATCTGTGGGGTGGAGACAGTCATCATCCCTGCTCCCAGGAGCTGCTGTGAGCCTCTTTTCGAGGAGATGCTTGATAAGTGGTGGCAGCTGGTGCTGTCATTTTGTCACCACCCTTCTTTGCTTCTCAGTGCCTCAGAGTCAGGAAATGAAGCAGCAGCTCTGAGCCAACCCCCATTCCAGATGGCAAAGATGCTGAGGCCCAGTGGGGAGGGGCCTGTGTTTCTCCAAGCACCAAGGATGCGGTGAAAATATGCCTCTGGCCTGAGCAGAGGGCCTTCTGTGTGGCACTGTCTCAGGGTGGTACAGTAGGTGAGACTCTGGACTGTCCCAACACAGGAGGGCTTCCTGGAGGAGGAGGCACCCAAGAAACCAAAGATGAGACCTGCAGATTGTATGGGGGTTTGGGCCCCAGGCAAGGGTCCCCGAGTTCACAGCAGGGAATAAGCCATGAGTGAACATGGAACCTGTCTGGGCAGCACCCCCACTCCAGAGCCTGTGTTCATGTAGCATTTTACCCCCTGTATGGTAGATTTATAACTTGGTGGAAGACCACAAGGACAGATGAGGACCTGAGGGTGGGGGATAGGTGGAAGCTGACCTGATCACGGGCTTTGTAGAGAAGAAGGTATGGAGCCCATGGTTGGTCTGTGCTGTGTCGTGGGTTGTCTTTGGCGTCTAGTCTCTGGCACCTGAGGGCCCCAGGGGCTGCTTGGCTCTGCCTCCTCCACCCCTGCTCTCCATGAGCAATTCTTCTTCCTTTGGTGAAACTCAGAGCTACGCATGAGGCCTGGAAGCTTTACCTTCTTCATCATTTACCCCTCAGCCAGCCCTGGAGGAGCTCTGGGGGCCGGTCAGGCAGGGGCTGAAGAAAGGACTCGGAGCATGCCAGAGAGGACAGTGCTGGTGATAGCCTTTATTAGCAAAAGGGTAGCAAGAACTTCTCGGCTAGGGACACAACTGGAATGTGCACAGGACAATAGGAGAGGTGACTTTCTGTCCCCTCTGAACAGGACAGTGATGCCAGGTTGCTTTCTTTCTTTCTTTTTAAATGTTTTTTATTTATTTATTTGTCAGAGAGAGAGCACAAACAGAGAGAGCTGCAGGCAGAGGCAGGCTCCCCGCTGAGCAGGGAGCCCGATGCGGGGCTCGATCCCAGGACCCTGGGATCATGACCTGAGCCGAAGGCAGACGCTTAACTGACTGAGCC